CTAGTATATTTAGCTAGTTTAGTTCAAAGGCGCTTTAATAAAAAAAACTTACAAGCAATAACAATTTTATATCAATATTTGAAATATACCTATATAGTCACTTAACGAGAACACATAGCCAGATCTGATTAGTCACTGCAGTGGGGCATATTATATAACAAAATACTGCTTCAATAGTTTTTTTATTGATATATGTCTATAGTCACTTAACGAGAACACATAGCCAGATCTGATTAGTCACTGCAGTGGGGCATAATATATAACAAAATACTGTTTCAATAAAAAAACATATGTCTGTATAGGGACTAATGATGCAAAATGAAAATACATGTTTAGACTCTTAACTAGGGTCCCGGTCAGAGGAATGTTGAACGGTATGAAAAAGCTCATCCGCATGCTTCTATAAACATCTCCCTAAGAGCGCCAGTTCACGTTACTCTTACATACTTTAAAGAGCAGGTAATAAGTAGGAGTCATTCATAACATATATATTATATAGGTCAACCTATATAATACAATCAATCATCAACCTAGGTATTCGTAGTCATATGTCTTTCTACCAATTGACTATCATGAACAACATGAATGTAAACCATGTTAGAAAACGTTTATCTCTCTATTAAGATTCTGTTTATATACAAATTGTTTTAACAGGAAATTGTTTTTCTTAGGAGATTGTATTTGACAATTGATCGTTTTAAAACAAGCGGAACTCTTCTTTGCTTTATGCAGCTTAGTTTTTCTTTGTTAATCTTCACTTAAAGCTCGTTTTTGAATACGCGTTGCACACCCTTAGAAGAGTAGACATTCACCTTTCACTACCGGGGTATTTCGTTCCATTCGAGTCTTAAGTTCTCAAGATGCTGTTTCTTCCGAACAGTATCATATAATTTAATCACATCCCTGTATTTGTATCTCTCAATTTTGATCAACATTTAAAATCTGACAGTTCTTATAGCCTGTGTATACACAACAGACGCATTAACGATTTGGTGTTAATATGTATGCATTCACATATTTATTCCTTAGATTATTATTATTGTGGTTGGACGCAAACGTGACAAAGACTTTTATTGAGGAGTGACTGAAAAGTGGCTTGAGAACTGTCGCTACTTATTTGCACATACAATCATGCAGACTCATTTACATCAAATCGTGAATATGGCTAATGATTTTATCACAATGGTAATATTTGTAAAAATGTACACCATTCATTATCTAGATTATAATCTAGGTCTTGCAGTGTGAAAGGCATTCACTGTGTGTACTATTCAGGTTCACAGGATTTGAAGTTGCTATGAAGTTATTGCTATGTTATTTCGTAAGCATGAAATGGATCAGAAGTGAGGCCATTTATAAACCATTTATTTAAAAAGTTTTTAAAAACATATTTTCTATTATTTACACATGTAGGATAGTTGATTTGTATGAAAGTTGCAAAAAATACTCTACGAAATTTTTGTCTGGGTCCAGAATAAAACAAACGAAAATAAATATATCTTTAACTGATCCTTACTGCTTCTGTAACTTTCAAAACATCACGCAAAAGACGTTAACAAAAAATTGAATAAAAGTATCAACCCAAAAAAAATACCTTTTGGGCTTAATAGTGTAGTCCAAAGCGCGGCTTGCGGGCCACATATGGACCGCGACTAATGTTTGTGCGGCCCGCGATTTTTTTTTAATCTACTACAATTACGCAAATTTTATTTTACCAAATAAATGAAGTGAAATTGATAAATAAATAAAACTTAATTTAACATTATAAACGTATTTTTATTTTTGTCAAAAACAACTATAAACGTAAGTATTTGTTTCTTCAGCCCCCCCAATCTATACAGTGATTTGTATTGGCCCGTGATCGCATCTAATCTAGACAGCCCTGGTGTAGATCATTGACTGGCAAATAAGTTCTTCGCCCAACAACAAATATTCCCTGTTAATTATTTTCCGGAACCGCATATTTGATCTATATAACTTAAGGATCACTAAAATCTAAAGTATCATTGCTATAAGTTAGGCCTTTCCAACACTAATGTCTGTTAATTTTATAAAATTTAATTTGAAAGCTCGAAGCTTATTTTTTGTAAATGAGCTACTTTTAAAAATGAAAAGCTTCACCACTTAGATGGTGTTGTTTTTCCTCAATACCAAAAATTATGCTAAAGTTTTAACATAGAGTTACAAAGTAAGACTATACACAACTCAACTATAGTAACACTACACACACAATATCAACTATAGTGAGATAAATTAGAATCATCAGACCGTAACAGAACATCCTTAGAATATACAGATGTGAATCGATAGAAAAAAAACTTAAATCTAACATTTGAAGTGAGTCGAGGTGAATTAATATAAAATGCGGAGTTCGGGTCTCATTTGGAACGGAACACTGCTATCATTAAACCTTTTCATTCATTTTTCCATTACAGTTTCTCGGTATAGATAATAAATGTGAAAAAGGACATTTTGTAATACGAGTATTTTAATATAATCACAACATTTCATTATTATTCCGAAGTTAATATATGTTAATATATATTTGATATTTTATATTATATGTATTTCTTATTAATACTTCCTATTTTTTAATTTAAAAAACAGTTTTAAATATTTTTATTTTAATTTTTTCTCAAAAGCAATTTAAAAAAAAAATGAATCGCTTTTTTCTAGTATTGCAATTACTTTAATATTCACATTCACATATCTTATTGTGAACTATTAATGTTATATCGTATATAAAGATATATATTATCTAAAGTTATATCTTCCTTGAATTAATTAATACACCACATATTTTTTTGCCCAAAATCTAAGGTATCACTTAATACAAAATTATTTTTCATCTCTATTTGACCGATATATCTTTACGGATTGCATTTCATTTTCATAGATCGTCTATACCTTTGAACGATAGAAGTGCTCCAGTTGATTATATTCAAAGCCAAAGTTTTTCCATTTAAACTCCTTTGCAAATGATTTCATACAACTTTTAAAGATCTTCATTTTGACACGTTTTTCACTCTTAAAAATTATTTTGGATCAAATTCACTAATCAGGATCGATTTCAAAACACACTCTTCACTTCAAATCAATTTCACTTTCGATTTTCACAAAAAATTACAAACCGAATCGAAACAAGCAAATTTTTTTCAACATCGACGATTTACTATCACATCAAAGCGAATTTAGAATTTGTATCTATTGAGCCAATTGAGTACTACCGCTTCAGTAGCACCGCCACAACTATGAAAGACTTTTCGCAAAGGGTGCGTTTCAGCTGCCACTGCAACTTCGTCAAAATCTATGGCTGAGTAATTTTGGTGGCGAGTACGTTTCTCACGACCGTACGAACATAAAATGCTAAGCATTTGTATTGACATATGATATTTTATATTGTAATTGATCTCACTTTGATATCGCACACTCGGTATCGGTGAGTGTACATTCATTCATACACGAACGTGTGTATCTATAATCGTTTAATTTAATTAAAAACATACGAAATATGCCGTTCCATGGGCCGATTTACGAGCCTGACATTGTTTATATCTTTCCGTAAGTGTGAACATGTCCAGCACGCTTTATTTTATTTTTTTTTTTTTTTTTTTTTTTTTTTTTATCACCTTTTTTTTTTTTTTTTTGTCAAATCAATAATGTTGAGTTGTGTGTTCGCTCTATAAAAATGCGGAATCTAGCAACATAGATACGTAGAAACACCGACATACGGTTGTTTACACTCTCGTCAACATGGCTTGGCTTTATAAGGGAGAAATGAAGTTTTAGTTTGAGCGTTTTTTTTTTTTATTTTTATTTCCATTTTTCGATTACAGTGCTGACCGTTCTGAACTTATACGTCAGAGGTCAGTACGTTTGCTTATTTGGATGCTGTGCCATATTCAAGCGAAAATGATGTGTTCAATATATTTTAAAAAGCAACTTAGCTTTGTTCTCTTTAAATAGATTTTACTATATTCATTCTATGTACAATGCTAAGACCCTTAAAAAGTTGGAGAGAAGTCTATTGCTATTCTTTAACAGAAAACTTTCAGCTATCTCGTCTCCAGGACTTTAATTCATTTTAAGTGGAAAATTCTAAGCACCACTCTGAGAGCTTAAAAAATTGAAGAGAATTCTATTGTTACTCTTTGATAAAAAACTATATGCTCAACGTTGACAGCCTTAAAAAATTGGAGAGAATTGCATTGTTACTCCTTGATAAAAAAAACTATTAATTATCTCCTCTCCAGGACATGAACTTTAAATGAAGAATTAAATGCACAACGCTGAGCCTTAGAAAATTGGGGAGAATTCTATTGAAATTGTTTGCTAAGAAACTATTCTCTATCTCCTCTTCAGAACCTGAATCCATTTTAAATGTAAAATTAAATTTACAACTCTAAGAGAACTCTAAGAGCCTTAAAAAATTGTAGAGAATTCGTTTGAAACTCTTTGATAGAAAACTATAAGCTTTCTGCTCTTCAGAACCTAAATCCATTTAAAATGCAGAATTATAGGCACCACACTTAGAGGTTAAAACAATTAGAGACAATTCTACTGTCAATTTTTTGAAAATAAAACTAATAGTTATCTCCTAACCAGAACTTGAATCAATTTTAAAATAAAAATTAAATGTTTAATGCTATGATCTTTAAAAAATTGGAGAAAATTCTATTTTTACACTTTGATAAGAAAAACTATTAGCTGTCTTCTCTCCAGAATTAAATGCACAACCCTAAGAGCCTTTAAAAAATTGGAGAGAATTCTATTAAAATTTTGTTGAGAAACTAATCTCTATCTCCTCTTCAGAACCTAAATCTATTTTAATTGTAGAATTCAATGTAAAAGGTGTAAGAACCTTAAACAATTTAGAACAATTCCATTGCTACTCTTTCATAAAAAAATGTTAGCTGTCTCCTTTTCAGGACCTAAAACCATTTTAAATGTAAATGTTTGTATGCTTGTATGATTTAATTTATTAATTTTTAAAATTGTAGGCTCTTTACTTAAATACTGTGAAAAATGGATATTATATATATCAAAGCGTTTGCAACAAACTAAATCAGATTTCGGAGATCCTTTAAAATAAGTGCTGTAGTGCAGTTCTAGAGTAATTTTGTAGATTATTGCCGGTTTAGTTGACTTTGAGAATTTTAATATCTTACTATTTTCAAGGTGCCCAATTAGAAACGGATCGATCCTATATCGAAAAACTCTTTAATACATAAATAAATACCTTAAGAGTTATCTAAGCAAATGTTTGTCGGTCTTTAAAAATCTCATACACGCAATATCTTCTATAGTCTTTGCATATATATAAATGTAAGTACTCTTAACTCGTGTGTATATTAGTTAGAGTTTGGTTAGACTCTCATTTTTTACTCATAGATATAAATTTTATTATATAAATAAAATTTGAAAATAATAAATAATAGTTTTTTAATAGTTATTACTTAGTGTAATTGCCGAGTTTTTAGTATTTGGCAATCTCAAATATTAGCTGTCCGTGCCACTTTGTCGATTGATAAACTATTCTATCATAATAAGTTATTATAAAAATAAAACGCCAAGTTAGTGTTATTTTATTTACTTATTTTCAGTTTGCTTCGTTGTTCGTTTAATTAGTGAGTGATGCGGATACTGTCCACTAGGGGTCATAACGACAATGTCCTCAGGGACAATTTAGTCAAAATTGCGTTTAAAAAGCGTTTGAAAAGAAGTATTGAGTAATACATGCACAGAAATACATACCACTTGCTTCTTGTCGGCATCGAACAAAATTATGGACATACCAAATGTTTTAAAGATGATTGTCAACATTGACCAATTGAAATTAGTAATTAGTAAATAGAAATTAGCAAGAAAAGATCGCGGGAATTAATCAACCTATCCCGAGCAAATATATCCAAGGTAGTGCGAATAATTTCGGGACATTGCTCGTTGCGAGGACATGCCGTGAGGCTCAATATCAGGACCTTCTTACATTGTAGACATTGCATGGAGGATGATGAAGAGGAATCACTAATACACCTTCTGCTACAGTGTCCTGCTTTCGCAAGACATAGACTCTCCTACTTAGGATCACACTTTTTCAATTCACTAAGAGAGCTAGATTCTATTTCCATAGCTTGTGTCACTGGCTTTGTGGCCAGTATCAAATGGTTATAGGGACAGGTGTCAAATTCTTTAGGGTATCACAATGGTTTAAGTGAGTCTTCGGACGGTCACAGTAACTTAACCTAACCTAACCTAATACATTCACAAATTCTTTTTTCACTTATTTTGTGGTTAATAGTTCTATAGACATATACAATTAAGGTGTTCATCTGGTTAATAATTTTCAAGGCAGACTCTAGAATTTCAGATAACTCACAATGGTACTGGAAAGAAGTTTTGTTATTGTCAGTCCTGAGATGTTACTTCGATAACGGTTTGCATATCTTTCTTTCGCAGAAATAAGAATATCTTTTGATGTTAGTCTTGACATCTTTCCTCCATAACGGTTTGCATCATCTTCTTTCGCTCAATAGCTGTTAATCGGATTTAATTTTCGAGAGTCTACTCAAAATGGCACATAAACATTGTTCTTATGACATACTTGAAAAGAAGTCTTGTCATTGAATCCTATAGTCTTTCACAAAAATTTAAATCTTCTGTACGACATCCTACTTCGATGAAGCAAGTGACTGACTCTAATGACAACAACTCGATTAACATTTAAATCGCTGACTTATAGTATGTATAATTAAATATTTTTTGCAATATTGGTTTTTCTTTTAATCATAATTCTATTATAAATATTAATTAAAGGTTTTTTTATTTATCCTCTTTCATAGTTTTGGTATCAGACATACATTTAAATGACCTTTATTTC